GAGAGAGAGACAGAGAGACAGAGAGACAGAGAGACAGAGAGACAGAGAGACAGAGACAGAGACAGAGAGAGAGAGAGAGAGAGAGAGACAGACAGACAGACAGACAGACAGACAGACAGACAGACAGACAGACAGAGGGTGCGTGTGTAAGACACAGAGAGAGGGGGTAGGGGTGGGGATAGGTAGACAGAGGCAGGGGGAATGGGTGAGGCAGTTGAAAAGAGGGAGGGAGAGAGAATAAAAAAGTGAGTCAGAGAGTGAAAGAAAGTGAGAGAGAAAAAGAGAGAGGGAGAGAGAGAGGGAGAGAGAGAGAGCGAGAGAGAGAAAGAGAGAGAGAGAGGGAGAGAGAGAGAGAGAGAGAGGGAGAGAAGGAGAGAGAGAGAGAGAGAGATCCTGTCAGTGAACATATTTTACGCCTCCATGAGCATTAGTTGTATCATTTAAAAGTCGGACAACTTCGTCCTTGACTGTCAGCCAACATGAGCTGAGTGGGTTACAACATCCCGACAGACAGGCCGTGTGGGAGGTGCATCTAGTCTAGATCTATGGTGTACAGAGCAGAGCGAGGCGATGAGGTCACGTTGTAGAAACCAGGCCACGGTATGAAAAGTGCTCTCTGTATTTTTCCGATCACCTATTGAGACGGGGGGAGCGGATATGATCGACGGGAAGTCATGGTTGGTCGGTGTGGCGCAGCATTACAAAAAGGCAAGAACAACGGTGGTAATAGTTCGAGTCGTGACGTCATTTTTCCATTGTCCAGGTAGGAGGTACAAAGTGTAGTTCCATAAAAACGATGTTAATTAAGTATGTTAATTAGCAGAACTGCTGTAACTGAAAGATGAAGTACGTTCACGACGAAGTGCTGGGATTTTTTTGGTTTTGATTTTCGTATTTTCGGTGTTGTTGTTTTCTCTTTGAAAAGAAGGTGGCATCAGAACTTTCATTATTATTTTTTTCTCTTCTAAGATCTAATTTCTGTACCTCTCTTCAGAGATAGGCTGTATACGGATTGAGAGAGAGAGAGAGAGAGAGAGAGAGAGAGAGACAGACAGAGAGAGAGAGACAGACAGACAGACAGACAGACAGACAGACACACAGAGAGGGGCAGACACACAGAGAGAGAAAGAGATAAAAGGAGAGGGATAGAGAGAGGGGGGGGGGGCAGGAGAGATGGGTGTGGGGGTAAAATAAATATTCATGCTGCTACAGAACGGTACAAAGGGTGGGATCATGTTGGGGTGGGCGTTGCAATGGAAGCGGAAGAGCTGATTCCAAAAGTATTATTAATAAGAACAGCACAAAAATATGCATTAAAAATTCGGTCACGTTTGAAGAGAAGGCAATCATAACGAGTACGTGCATGATGGCGTTGGCCTCGTAACGCCTGTGTGCTCGCAACTGTAGGCCAAGCTGCTGCGCCGCAGTTGAAAGTCTTAGCAAAACCTGCGACGACGTAGTCTCTGCACTTGGCTGCGTGTCTCAAGACCTCTGCAACGTAAGCTGTTTGCACATTTATTGTGATAGAAAGAATAATTCATCTTCTGTTGTTCCGAGTTTGTGCGCGGCGCATCGCAGATACCAGCAGAAAGACAGAGACAACGCGCTTTGGTAACAATTGTTGTCTCTTTTGTGATCTTTCGGGGAATGTGCTGGAGGTTTTAAAAAAAATTCGATGTAGTTTAATTAGGAACTTTATTGTTTCGTGGCATTAAAATTTAGTTTCCGTCCTAACGTTTTTCTTTCTTCCATGTTTTTTTCATATAACAAAAGATGCTAATTAAGTTTAGATATTAGTGAAATGTCTATACGATCATCATGATCATCAGCAAGTGAAAGATCTGAGACAGACATCGCCGATCATGGGTTTTTATTTCTTTCATTAATTCGTTTGCTCGGATGCTCTTAAAAAAGCAACATTATCCTGATCCCGTTTCCCTTCTGTTTTGGCTCTCCAAGTACGTTGCTCTTGCTGGTTTGTCTTCAATTATGCCAATTAAAGCTAGATGTCCAAAGCCTTTTGTCTATTCCACTGTCCCCAAATCTGCATTTGTCTTTTCCTGAGCGTTTTATCCAGGAGCGGCCCACGTGGGCTTCTTCAAGTACTACTTCTTTTCCATACAATAGCCACTGCATTAACAAAGTTACACCATGCATCGGAACGAACGTTGCTCACTTAATATTGAAGTCATACAGCATGAGCAACTTGTCTACTTAGTTTCCATAAAGATAGCGCATTTTCTCTTAGCAGCTCAATGAGAATACAACATTATTATGTGTGCCTTGAAAATCTATCCGCGTCAAAAGTATGCAGTTTATCTCAGGCATGTACGATTAGACCACCATTTTATTTAGTGGTTCTCTTAAGTGCGTGATGCCTCTGTGGGAGTCAGGTAAGATAGAAGCAAATGTCAGCTGAAATCAATTCTGTTTTTTAAATATTGATACGATGAATGTTTAGAGAGATTTTCTTTTGGTCAGAAGACAACGTTTCATGTTACTGTCGTATTGCCCTGTAAAGCGCTCGGAGCTTGTGCACTTTAATCGGGGTTGAGTGCTACATAAAATTAAATGACTTTTTTTATTATTATTATATGTAAAAGAAAGGCCATGAATAATATAAGGACAACACAGCAATGCCCCCAAGTCGTGCTCGTGGATCCAGTCAGCCCCCGATCAGATTTACCACATGAGGAAGAACGTCTCTTATTAAAATAAATCTCTACAGGTTACTCAGACATTCATGTATTTTTTGGTCATTTGTTCTTAGGCTCATCTAGCCTATACTTTACGATAAACCAGCTGATTATAAACATTTCTATTTATGACTGATTGATTTCGGGTGATCTGGGCTGTAACAACTCCCTAACTTTCAGGCACCCCTCCCCGGTACAGTACAGGGTGTCGACTCCCTGGATGTTGGCTTTTGACTTTGAAATTTGCACCTGGGGCCTCTCTCAGGTTAATCCTTATGAACCATAAGACACACTTTTTTGTTTCGTTTTGTTGTTTTGTTTGGGGGGTTTTTCTCAAGTATTTTTTACCATAAACAGTACCTAGTTCGTTGGAAATCTCTGTGTGGTTTCATTCCTTCTGTATGAGATAATTGGATGACGTCATTTCTTTCAACCATTATGTGATGGTCGCCTTAAACGATTTAACGTCATGGACGCATATGTTTAGTAGTGCAATATTTATTTTGACAACGAAAAGTAGCTTATACTTTGTGGGGTTTTTTATGTAAAAAGAACTGTTTATTATTTTGCGTTATTCCTTTGCCATCTTCATTTCACTTTTGGAACAGTCCTCTTACTTTAAGCGTATGTATCGGATGCCAGTGTAAGCGTATGGCTTCTTTGACACGCTGATTACATTGTATTCTTTCCTTTCATCTGTTCTTTGAAAATTTTAATTATATACGCTCTATAAAAGTTGGACTGTAATGTTTGAAATATTATTCGATACTTTGAAATGAGAGCAGGCCAACATCGAAGTAGGCTTAAACCACAACAAATGTGACTTTGAATAGGTCAGAAGTTAATTGCGAAAGAAACAAGACCTTGCATCCTAAACTATGCACGATGAAAGTTCTCGAGCAAGCCTGAAAGAAAAAACAAAATACCCCCTCCCCTCACAAAAACGCACCCAAAACCAAACAACAGAACCGGACCTATAGGAATCTTAAAAGGCAGCTTTTGTTTCCCGTCTACAGGGGTAGACACACGAAACATCTCACATATCCCTTTTTATAAACTGTGGAGCTATACATTTAGTACAAAACAGCTTCTGAGATATGCGCTTTCTTTAATACTCGTCTGACAATATTTGAGTCATTTCTCAGAACCGTCCAAACTTCCAACCTCTTTCCTTTTAGGTGGGCGTAATACTCGGAACATTCTTTTGATTTCAGGAACCTACTCAGAATACCATTTCTGTTTACCCGTTCACATATTTATTTCCCTGTATCGCCAGTCATCTTTAACAATTACCCTTTCACACGCTGTCGCCAGTTTCACGCTTAGATGGCAACCTCATTGCGTAATGTTTCGTTCAGTGTCTATAAATACACCTGTTCAGAGATACATTTCCCATTACTCCTTCCATAATGTAAACGTATATATGTAGAGAACCATACTATGTCCCCTCTATCCTGTCTTAAATCATGAGCCTGCTCATATGACCTTATGCAGTTGCGAGCTCCGTAAAATCTTCACTAAAACTTAAACTGTAGTAAAGCACATAACAAACCCTGTGTAGTTGTTTAAAAAGACGATTTTTGTGATGGTCCAGTCTGAAATGTAATGTCTTTATAGGCCGTAATTAAATTCCCGGGAACTATTAAACTTTTCTCTCGTTATACAGGGGTAGACAGAGAGCAACCTACTTGGAAAATCTAAACAGGGACAGATCAGGACAATGCATCTTTTTTTAGAGCATCCAATCAAAAGAGATGGATGGAGAACCATGATCGCAGATCTTGCACTTTAAGATGAATGCTACCTTGGTGATTTTTATTATCAACTAATTCTCTTAGCCGTGGAATCGTCGTAACTTTTTTTTAACCTGACTGTCTAAGGAAAAACAGCTTTGACTTCACTTCAAGACAAGTTCACTCCTTTTTGAGCACATTAAAAAGAAAACGATCAAATAACACCGTAAAAATACCAGTGGTGACACAATTAATTTATATCAACGGGTGTCGTCGGAAGGAACATTTTCGGGAGTAAATTATGTTCTATATACAAACAGTAGCAGCACATTTTTTATTTTAGAAAAAAAAAAAAAAGAACAAGTTTCTACCAACCCCTGAACATGCTACCGTCACCGTCAGCACACCAAAAACAGACTCGTTGGTGTGTGCAGTGGTGCACATAAAGTGGTCGACACATAGGAACTAACGTGCATGGGCACGGGACATCGTTCGACTCTCAAAGAGAAAAATATAGAGGCATTATTTCATTCCCGTGAAAACAGAACAAAATGCAGGCTATAATAAGTTATAGCTGCATAAATGGAATTCAGATAATACCGCAAAAAATAACAGCAGCCCCAGACTGCCATGTCCCGCATTTTGCCCCACCCATAATAAAATAATATGTTTTTCCTCGCCGGTGTGCTTCTTTCTATTATATTATTACCACCTCCCTATTACAATATAAATGCCGCCATGGTCTGTGAACTGGGGGTGTGATTCATAATATACACGTCCCTGTCGTGGTTTTTTTTTTTTTTTTTTTTTTTTTTGCTGTTTGTTTTATATTTATTGTATTTTTTTTGTCTGGTGTTTTTCTGGGATTTTTTACACGTGTTGTGAGTGGTATATTTTTCATAGAAAATTGGCTGGAGAAAGTAAGGCTATTAGTGTTTTCATTCTATCAATTTGTTATTATTGAATTCAGTCTTAGCTTCCTCATACTTGCTCCAACAAAATACAAGATGTGCAACGCGACTGGCAGTGAAATCATAATTTTGTTTAAACCGAATAATTCCTATATTATGAGGGATGTCTCTAGTAGGGTGGCATTGGGTGGGGTAAGCCTTCCATATGAGGTCATAGAATTTAAAAAATGTCGCAGGATAGACAGATTGACAATCAGGATACTATGCTTGTAGATGAATAGGTAGGCAGATCGGTCGGTCGGTCGGTACACAGGTCGATAGGTAGGTAAGTAGGTAGGTAGGTAGGTAGGTATGTATGTCGATAAATAGGTACACGGATTGGGAGGTAGTTAAGTAGGTAGGTAGGTCAGTCGGTCAGTAAGTATTTACGTCGGTAGATAGGCATATTCGTCGGTAAGTCGGTACATAAGCGGCAAGAAGGTAAAGGGGGTTCGGTTCGTAGGTCGGTAGGTAGGTCTGTAGATTGTTAGCTTAGTTGGGAAGTAATGAGTGGGGACATAGTGCTCATATCATAAATAAGCAAATGATTATAAGTCAAAGAAAATCGGTAAAACTGTGGGTGCATACAAGGCAGATGAGTAGATAAATAAGTATATTTGCTAGAAGAGAAAAACACTGCCAAGTACACTGTACGTGGGGAAAAGGGGGGGAAATCTTGTCTATGAATATGATTCGCTACAAGCCAATGGCCAAAATTGTATCAAGAGTGCCGTAAAACGTCTACTTAATCAAGCAATTGAACCACTCTCTAGCAGTCAGTTCAAGGCCGGAATTATAACTTGAACAAACTTTTTTTTTTAAGTTCATTGGCAAAATTCAGATCATATGGCTACCCCTATCAGATAGGATACACGTCGTTAATTTTTCATGGGATATTTATGTCCCTCAAAATGTGCCACAAAGCCTAAGTTTGGGATATAAAATCATCTGAATTTACTGAGTTTTCATAGTTTGCCATCCTTTATATGTACCACAAGTCGACAAGGGCTGAAGTCATGCGTATAGCAAGTGAGCAAAACGTTTGACATTCTGCCCGGAGAAAAAACTATTGATCTTTTCTCCTTTAAAATAAAGCCGTCTCGTTACCTGTGTGCAACGTTAGAGCGCATCTGGGTCAGGATTACAACATAGGGGACAGAGCTGTGCTTAAAAACAGAACCGAAACGAAATATAAGGTAAAACGATCGCGCTGCTCCTCGGAATAAGCTCTGAAATATATACTGTTGTTATTATCTTCTTTACAGAAACGACTTGAGATTGTTCCTGGTCACGTGTGAAACCTGCGAATTGGATTTCTTCTGGGAAAATAAGAGATAAGTAAGATTGGCTACAACGTTTTTAGACATTCACAATGGATACGACTTTGCGTGAATCAGAGTCCTACAATCCGACAGTCGATTCTGATGAAAAAATACCCTTGAAAAGTCAGGATGAGACGAAACCGTTTACTGCCTCTGACAATCGTACATCATGTGAGATGGAATCCAGCGCCACCCGTGATGAAGAACATGACGACACAGCCATTGTTATCGTCGGAGACAACAAGTCCCTGAACGAAGATGACGAGCCGGAAGATGAAGAAAGAGTGGCTTGGGGCAGGAAGGCCGAATACTTCCTCTCTATGATTGGCTACTGCGTTGGACTTGGGAATGTTTGGAGATTTCCTTACGTCTGTATTAGGAATGGAGGAGGTAAGATTATTCTGTGACACCTGTGTGTGTGTGTGTGTGTATGTGTGTGTGTGTGTGTGTGTGTGTGTGTGTGTGTGTTTGAGCGTGTTTGCCATGAATGGGGAGGGCATGGAGGGGGGGGGGGGGTGGTTAGGGGGTCGTGAGTCGTGAGCATGTTAGGTTCTTACACTCATCTAGTATAAACATATAATAATATATTTCATTTACGTTTACATTAACAATCTCGCCCCCCCCCCTAAACAAAAACCCAACAAACAAACAACAACCCCCCCCAAAAAAAAAACCCAAAAAAAAATTTATTTAAAAAAAAAAACTAGCACAAAGACTTTTTGTCATCTAGATAAATATTATGTTCCCCTCCATATTCTTATCATTGCTTCGAGTGAATCTGCACTCGGTAATTTGCATAAATTGTAGGCATCCTTAACAGAACAAAACCAACATCAGCGTTATCAACATTTCTAGCCTCGTTTTATTGACCTAATAGGTGATCTTAAAAACTGGCTGTAATGACTGCTTCTGATAATGAATTAACGTACAAGATCCAGCGAATATCGTCTAAGTCTATTAATATTTTTTTTCTTTAATCTAAAGGTTTGTGTTAAGATACTTTAGAGTTGTACATGTACATAACACAGGGTTTTTTTTGTACATGGACTGTTCAGATTGTCATAGCTTATTGTTTCACACTGTAGTTCAGAGCATGTATTAGTCAAAAGCGCTAACACACTCGGCTCACATTATAAGCTGTATTTTTTTGTGACTTGACAGGTATGTGCCCAGGGTGATCAGAAAAATCGAAGCTGAATACAACCAAATAGAAGAAAGGGAACGAAACCAGTTTTGCTAAATATTTTGGTCCTCAATTTCTTGTTATCGTTTGTATTATACTATATTCGCCATACCCCGATCTTTAGAATTAAACACCTGTGGATGAAATTGACACACACAATTATTGTGAAAACAACGCAGTTGAAAAAAATAGGTACAAAGAGAATTATCTAAGCAATGTCTGCTTCTGATTGTTCAAGAAGGATACAAAGCCAAATTCTAATTCTCTAATTAATCCAAACAAACGTCACTCTATTATTATAAATGTTCACTTTCGTTTTTCGTGTTAAAAAATCTAACGTATCTATTTCCCTCGATACTTTGTAGGGCACTTCAACAGGCCAGCCATCAAACAAAATTATTTTTAAAAAACAACAAAGTGATCCAGCAATTAAAAAACCTTTTCCTATTTGAGCCCTATATTAAAAACTACTCTTTGGGAGCACAAACAGGATTATGAAAATATATAACTAGATCTAACAGTAAAAAGTAAAGTTGTTCCCGCATCCGATCCGGACATTGGGGATTGCCTTGTTAGTGAGACAACTTCCTGGGCCTTCGGCATATTGTGGTAGGGTGGTCAGTTCCTTTCCACGCCGCCTTTACTTCCCCAACTCAAAGATAGGTACCCATTACTGCTGGGTGGGCAGGAGGGGGAGAAAAAAAATCCGTGTCCGAAACGAGGCTCGAACTCTGACTTTCCGCTTCAGAGAGAAGCGCACTAACCACTCCGACACCGCACCCTCAACTAACAGTAACCTACGAAAGAATTGTTCAGATATTTTGAGATAGCGACACCATCCTGCTCCCACATCTCAGTGTAAGCATGGAGACTCCATCCAATGGTTGTCGAGACGTCTCCATATGTTTCGAAAATTACTTACCCCCACTCTTGAATCGGGTTTCATAAGCGCGTGGTGTTGAGGAAAATAATGTGTCAACTTTTTAATGTTTTATGTGTGTGCTGTAAATCACCATGATTTTTTTACCCACTTTAGGCTAAGATCAAAGAAAACGTGTCAGAACCTTTGTTTGCTGTGACCTTTATAAATGGACTTCCAGATTCTGTTAGTCATCCATCTTTTAGAACCGTATGCAAAGATTGGAGAATATCAAAGAGAGCGATTTTACCTTGTTTTAACCGTGGTCAGAGGAATGTGAACAAGCTATTGAACAAGACTAGGATAGGGAATCAAAAAGATGTTAGTGTGTTCACCTGTGTGCACATTTTATGACAATGTGCAGTGACCTTGAACAGAGCTAGACGAACAACATAACAGCATTTATATTAGAATACATTTAGAATAGCAGGACGCTTGCGGGCTATTCGAAATGAGACACATGTGTTTTGATTTAGTCTAGCAAGTCCTTACACTTCAGCTTACTTTACTTTTACTTTCTTCCGCTTGTACCGGGGGGTGTCGCGGGGAGACACAGGCGTCTGTCTACAGCAAGGCGAGTAGCCTGTGGGGGGACATCCCGTGAGCTCTGAGGGTGTCAGCCACAGATTCACTCCATCGTCGCCTTGGTCTTCCTCTGGCTGTCCATCCAGAATATCTAATGTTGTAT